GGGAGAGGGAGCCACACATTTCCTAGAACCACGAAGTTTGGATGAGCGCAGCTGATGGCAAGACCGAACTACCAAAGTGCATACCCGTGGCCCGTAAAGTTTACGGCGTAAACCAGGAACGGGAAACTATCTAGACGGAGATCGTAGACTGACGTCCAGTTCCGAGACCGGGTCGCGAGTCGTTGTGATTTCCATAAGCTTTTGCTCCGAGATGATCGCGAGTCGCGGAGCTGAAGGCTGACAAATGGCGAGTCGGCACTTCACTCTATGCCAAGAGTGAGGAAGTATTGCAACGGTCCTTTATTAGGTTTTCTGGCCGGCTCGGGGAACCATCGTTAGTTATGTGAGCTGCTCCGGAGCCGGCTAGAGGCATCGGTGGAGAGAGAAAAATTCTCTCTCTCGAGAGTGTCACCGTCGGTTGACATTGAGGCGCGTACGAAGTAGAGAAGACTAAACGGTTAGTCGTCCTCATAAGCTTTCCATTTGAATTTTCAATTTGACTCGCGGGCATCGTCCGATCTCAGTTGGGTCGCAATGAAATGAAACATACAATGACAAGATGTGGAATCCATACTTGAGATCGGCTCTAGTGACAAACCCAACAACTTCTATTCGCCAGAAGTCATCATCATGTTAGTTCATCAGAGATTGATTGACCATGTGAAAGTTGCATAGCTAATTCCCGCAGTGCCTCCGTTCGATCATTGTATCGTCCTAATCTACTCCTCGGTGAACAGTTCTCTGGCTCACAAACTCTGCCGATATCAGACCGGTACAGCAAATCGAACCCGCCAATTCTTCGTAGATTCTCATACTCCTCTGACGGGATTATCCCTTCCATGTTAAGGACGTTAAATACGTCATCGAGGAGATCAAATTTCATTCTGTAATCACTAGGAGTATTCGCTGTCAGACTTGGTGACGCGTTCACCTCGAGTAACCACGGTTTAAGTTTATCATCAAGGATAATATCGTAGCCGTATAATTCGAAACTGTGTTTATCCGGAGCCACTTTTGCTTCGACCGCTTTCAAAGACGCCAAAATGATACTCTCCGTATCAAACAGCATCTCGTCGACACGTTCCTCACTAAACTTTGTGAGTAGGAAATTCTTCAGTTCGTTGAGGTCGTATTTACCTCCGTGTGACGAGTCATAACCAGGTGCAGTTTTCTGAACTGCAACGTTGGTGAGATGGACAGCATGGTCGACCATGCTCTTCTTAGTTTTCGAGTATTGCGACATGGAAAGCCTTGCGAATCCTTGCCGATACACCCATACGGTCAGGGGTGAGTAACTTGGCACTAATACGTAGAGACGTAGATCGAATTTCTTACCGCCTGAGATCATATCGGGACCGATGATATTGCATAGGCGTTAGTTCGCACGTCGGAACCGGAACGAAGCCAGTACGACCATATTTCATCCGAATTATTCCAGATGAGATTGCGAATCAGGTGCTATCCGATACTTCAATAAAACGTTTTTCCTCGGGGAAAAACGATGTCAGCGGTTGATCTTTCGGAATTTAACGAGACTAGACTCGCGAAACTCATTCAACCAATCCGCGACCAGCGTAAATTCGTCCGGAGCAATTCTTTTCACATTTTACCAGAAAAAAAACGGAAAAGTAGCTGAACATTTAACTGGAAAATGTTCGATCCAATTTTGCCGTCCCAAATTGAGCATGTGCTTACCAAGCAGTAGAGGGTTCGCAATATACTTTTGGACAACGTATGCTTCGACCACGCCGGGAGGGAGGGCATTACTCACGCTGATCGGATTAGTCGTAGTCTTATCGTCATTCTGGAAAAAGAGCAAACAAGCATCGATTGCTCAGCATCCTTGAACATGGTTTATAAACAACTTCGAATATCTTTAGATTCTCCAAGCGCATGATCAAACAATAATGCAAATACATGATAATAAATAACACAATACATAATATACAATAATACTTCAAAATCTTGAAAGACACCC